TGCAATATTCCTTGGGTATTTAAGAAGCCACGATTGCAATTTTAGATCACCCCTGATGAAGACACTAGACTGGAGTGTCGAAACGTTGGGTCTTGATTGCAATTCGACTGGGCTTTGTAATCATTTATTTAAACCAGAGTAGCGAGCGAAACAAGATTTTAGTGTATCACAAAGATTGTTTTACCTCGTGTAGGTTAAAACTAGAATTAAGTTAGAAGGAGAAGAACTAGAAAATTACTGGGAAGTACAAAAGGAAAAAGAGAAAGATAAAAAGATGACAGAGGCAGCAAATAAAAGGTAAAATTAATTTACAATGAACGATTTGAGTTGGAATTCAGAAACCAAATGATTATTAATACGTTAAATAAATAAATTACAGTTGAGGCATTATTATTACTGATTTGAAAGAGTGATGTGGTAGAAGTCTGATTTGAATTCTTTAGCAAAGAAACAGTTGCAGAAAGTGACAGTGACAGCGAAGATGAAGGGATTGGTTTGACATTCGGAGGAAAAGCGCGACATGATCTCATGATGTCAGACGAGAAGGTAGTAAAACCATGTCAGTATGACTGATGGAAAACAGTGTTGATGTATCTCTGTTGAAGCGTCTTGTAGATGGAAATTGTCGAGTGGAAATTTATATACATTTTATTTTTTGTGTTGGTGTTGTGTACTCAGTTGAATATGATGTTTTTGATGTTACTCTGAGTGTGTATCTACACCGGGCAAGCTTGAAAAATATGCCTGGCCACGGTGGGAATCGAACCTACGACCTTTGGAATACTAGCCCAATGCTCTGCCAACAGGTCGGTTCAAGTATGTGATATTTCGGAACTGAGTAGCTGAGTTGGCAGAGCATTGGGCTAGTATTCCAAAGGTCGTAGGTTCGATTTCCACCGTGGACAGGCATATTTTTCAAGCTTGCCCGGTGTGGATATACACTCAGAGTAACATCACAAACATTAAATACATTTATTACACACCAGGAACAGAAGCGAAAAATGCGACTATAAGCCCTCTGGCAGGAATTGAACCTGCGATTCCGGTGCAGTGCACCAACCAACGGAGCTACAGAGGCCAGTTGTCGAGTTCTAACCAACTGAGCTACAGAGGCCAGTTG